ACAACAATACCCTGTGCCCAGCAGATGGTGCAGCACTGCAGTTCAAAAGAATACTCTGCCTTTCTTCTTCTGAAGTTATAATTCTCTCCCATAATCCTGAATTTGGTTCTCAAATTTGCTAAGTGATACACTAACCTTCAATTCTGTACTGATTAATGCTCGTAGTCTTCACCACTTACTTCTTTTCACGATAGTCTCTGCCTGGCCGATGGGTGTTATTTTTTAGTTAGTATTTAACATACTCCATGTACTCAGAAAACTTTTTAAAGTTCTCACTCTGCATTTCCTACCCTGTCAGAGTCGCCATATCCACTTATCTATCGCCACAGCACAACTGGTCACTTCTTGTCCGACTCAGGGTGAGGCTGGGTCACGTCACTGTTTGTGAATGTGACGTCATCAACCGCGCATGCGCAGTTATTGTTTTGGCTACTGGTCCGCTACACCGGAAGACGTACCAGAGACTGAGAGAGGAGCCTCGAATCATATACTGTATACTAATTGATTAAATTAGGGTGGCCATTTCCAAATTTCCAAAAAGGCGGACATTTTTAAAATTTTTATGACACTTCTTTTTAACCTAAATTAAACATGTTTAATGATGAGTTGAAATATAAAAAGTTGTATAAAATATACAAAATATACTTAGAAGTGTTGATTACCCTAGCAACCTGGTCCAGCTGGGGACTTCCCTTAGCAGCGTTCCCCCTCCCGCTGGCACCTATTGATGATTTTTTTTTCACTTTCTACATGTAGGATTGTGTGCATGTAACTGAATAAAACAAAAATACGAAGAAAGTTAAGTTTATCTACTTGAAATAATGACTTTAATCTTCACAGCATTCCTCTTGATGGACTCATTCACGGAAAAACCACTCTGACAGAGTAGGTGGACTGACCTCTCTAGTTATAAGAATGTCTAACACGACAATTAAGCATTTTGATAATAATAAAAAATATATTGTACTCACGTATGAACAATGTTGGTGGTAGGACGTTAACATCTGATGGAAGCGGCTGACTGGCTTTGCTGTAGTTGTTGAAGAACGTCTAATTTACTCTCTAGAGTAAATGTAATCCTACTTTTCTTTGCTGGAGTGTCCCTAGGCAGAGGGACACTAAGAGAACGTTTAGGTGGAGCCATGATGATGAACCCAAGCGAAGAAACTGAAGTTAATCCAAGTGAGTTTTAGTTGTGGCCGGACTGAGCATTAGCTAAACTCCAAGTCACGTGGCAAGGGAACGCTACTCGTGGACTGTAATGGACTCGACCACTGGTGGACACTACCCATGGACTATAAAAGACTTGACCATTGGCCCATGCAAACCGTTTCTATTAAATTGCGTTTAGCCGATTTTTCCCCATGTTAGCCTGATTCAACCCGCATTAGAGCAAATCTTAGTCCCATGTTAAGCGATATCGGGTAGTATTAAAAAAAAAGTGTTCGAACAAATCCACATTGAACAAACCCTTGTTAACCGAGGCAGTGTACTACAATTTTGTTTTTAGTGATTTCACAATGGAGGTTTTATAAGTTTGGGATTCTTGCCATTCTATCAACTTTAAATAAGTTTTAAACCCTTAAATTTTCCTAGTTTTCCCAGCATTGGAAAATTATTTCACAAAATTTCAAAACTTTTGAGAACCCTGCTGCTTCATAGGTGGATGAAAAAAATAAAGTGAAAAACATGTCATCACTTTATTAATTTCAATAATATAAAGACTTACAGAAGTATTTACAACTGGGTAAAATCCTTACAAGCCTGTACATAATCAAATATAAACACTACGTGGATAAAAGTAGATGAACTAAAGGGAAACAAATTTTACCTGAATACTGTAATCCACAAAAAAAATTATTATTGTACAAAATTTGAAAGCAAAAAGAAATAGCATACTATAGGCAAGATGAATGAAATTGTGATAAACTAAAACCAACTGTTACAGTTAAAGAATGTGAAATGAAAATTCATGTAAACATTTCTTTGGTAGCTGTATAAATATTAATTCTTCCATTATCCATGATATATGGATATTTCTTAATCATTAAATAACATTAAACATACTGAATGATATTTAGGAGAAAAAAATAAAATACAAGATATACAAATAACAAAATTCTAGTAAAATTAACATCTTTGTTGTTCAAGATTCCTTTACACACAAACTGGAAAGTTTCACTGACAGTTTTAAACTCAAGAAAGTTGTCATCTACATAGTTGTAAAAAGGTAGTCTCACAGCATTAGAGTATAACTAAATACTCAAGTATATTAAATGATAGCCATCACAGCTTTAAAACACAAAGTGATACATAGTAATTAGTTAAACTCTAGGAGTTAAGAATATTTTTGAGTATAGCTGAAAGAAAACAGCACATGCACGTAAAAGGGTCGGAACATGGTACATGGTATAACAAACACAAATATACAGAATGGCATGAGATCTAAGCATCTCCTGTAGCTTCACTCTGCTAGTGATTACAATACTGTACTGAGTTTTGGAAAACTGGTGAGGAAGGGGCTTAGGTTGTACTGTACATATATAAGAAATGTTTCTCGATGCTAGATTTATTGATCACAACATAAATAAATGGGCAAAAAGGAATATAGATTCATGAAGATACAAAAAAAATGTATACAGTAGTTTGTATCCTATTAACTGCAGGCTTTGGATATGAGAATGTCAAGACCAAAAACTTTAAACAGCATACAGTATATAACCAATTACAGAGAATAATATAGACAAATCCTGGCTGCCACTGAATTATGGGTATAGGAGTATTATTTAATATAGAGGCTTCATTAAAATACAAATTATATATAATTTGTGTGAGCAAACTACAGAAATTTGGCTGCTTTTCTTGTATAATACTTTTTGAACTAACATTTAAAAAGAAATCTAGTTTTTCATATACAGTAATTTGGCCCCAAGAAAAATGAAATTATTTAAAATATATAGGAAAAAGGTTTTATGTTTTTAGACTTCTCTTCACCAAGTGAAATGAGCAACGTAAGTTACAAGTTTCATTCATACATCAGCCGGATCACAGCAGAACGTGGGTCATTTCAGCAATGTTGTGTCATATGCGTGATAGAACACGAGAAATGGCATAAAATATAAATGTGCACTGCAATTAGGTAGCATCAAAATACAATACTGTACCACAAATTTTATATAATCCATGCAACCATCCACACATGTATTACATTTATAATCTGGTAATATACTGTACTGTAAATTCCTTAAATATATACAATTTGGTACAAACAGACTTTTCTGCTTTCTGCCTTTCACTCTTGGTGTCTAAGAAATGTTCAACTAGTCACAAAAAATGACAATCACAACAGAATGACCTTATACACAAGTGCTTCAACAAGCCAAATACGTACAATATATTTACACAAATACACAAGACCTTTGTAAATCACAGGCATACATTGCAGACTGAATTACAGTATCTAAATAATATATGCCATAAAATTTTGTCTTTCTACTATTCACATAAATATGTACAAAAAAAAATTCACAAGCTTACAAAAATCACCAAGCAAGGCTAAGAGTGATTATGAAGCAATGTCTATTTTTCCAGGAGAGGAGGACACACTGGCATGCAAATACTGTACAATTATTTCTTTCCATCTAAAGAGTACAGTACACTTTCACTTTGCATTAGTTCTGGATAGGAGTTTCCACAGATCATAACTGTAATACAGTATATCAGTTTATGTTATCAGTGAAATGCAGCTTATCCAACTGCAAGTTTTGTTTCTCTTTTCATCAAACACTCATGTTTAAAGAGTGCAAGGCATCTGTGTCCTAAAACACTGCCATTTCTTATATATAATAACAATTTCTTACATTTATTTGGATATTAACCACTTCCACACTTAGTTTGTGAGCTAATTATTCACACGCACAGTGTGCCCCTTTATCCACAATTATCGACTGCTATTCTTCTGGATGTTCTTCTTTCTCTTCGCCAACATATCATAGAATGGATTGTGACTGATACTTTGTCTGAAAAAAAAAATACATAAATAAATAAAATAAAATTGCATAATATGAATGTATAAAAGCTTGTACAACTACAATATAATTTACAGTATACAGGGTATACATATTTTTTAAAGAAATTCGCTAACTTTAGGGGATAGGATTTCTGAACACTACAAACAAACAATGTATAGTACTTTAAACTTTCAAACTATCCTTTTCAACCATTTATATGAACGTCAATAAAAAATTACTTACACGAGTACAAAAATATACTGGTACTGTACTACGTATATTTTCAACATTCTCTTCAGGTTATTTCACTACCTTAAATTTAATAGATTGAAAATACACAAGTAATGGCATGTTCATTGTACATTGCCCCCCCTGCCATGCTTTGAACAAAATATGAGCAATATATAAACAACTCCATTAATTTGGGCAAAGAACTTGGTCACTTTTGTGTTCTAATTTTAGCTTCCTAGCTGAAAAATGGCTGGGATATCACCTAGTCCTAGACAAACAAGCCAAAAAGAAGAAATACAAAAAAATGTAGCAATCACTGAAATTCCCCCTTTTGGAACTTCAGTGCTATAATAAGTTCTGAACAAGCCTTTTGTGTGGCATCTGGGGACAGAATAAGAGAAGGAGGGAAGGGTGTACAAAAGAGTACAAGGGTAAAGCTATGAAAATTAGAGAAGAGAGATTGAGAAATTAATTTTAGTTTGAATGAAGACAGGATGGAGGAATTGAGATGTCTGAAATGCATAGTACGGATGTGAAGGATAGACTCCAAATACATAAGGAAGGAGGAAATTAGCCGTGACAAAAATTATGTTTGAAAATATGTGTAGTGAATATTATATAGAGAATAATAAATAAAGAAATTAAATGTATAAATTAAAGTAGTGTCAGAGAGTGTATAAACCATAGATAGATGGTAGGAGGGAGGCAAACATAATGTTGAGGATACACCAAAATATGTTGGTAATGAACAACTAGGAAGCAGAGCTGATTGTGGCCTAAATTGGAAAATTTTCCTTGCTCAAAATAAGAATTATTACATATGCAGTAACCCCTATTAAAGAACTTAGCCTTACCTTATACACTTAATCCATTCCTCTTTTTCATCTGGAGTTGCTGCAGACATACGATATACAGTGTGTTTTCCTTCTACAACTTTCCCTTCGCTGTCTGTCTTGCAAGCTTTAATGAAATCTGTCGACGTAGCATACAGCTCAAAGCAATTTGGCTTATTGCGATCCTGCACTTCACGAACCTGAAATGAATTTATAAACCTGAGTGCAAAGATCAGTTAAACCTCGAGTAAAAACTGGGGAGCAAAACAGAGGGACAAAATATATGAGATATAAAAGTTATCTTGATTATCAAGGTTAGTTCTAATACTGTAAAGAGAAACATGAATTTGCAGGTCCATACTCATTACCATTTCAAACACTATACTGTATGTTCACATACAATAAAAATGCCAAAGTTTTTCTTATATCAATATTTTCATTAATTGTGTCACTGATTAAATCTTGAAATCAAGTACTGTACTGTACAGGGTACAGATATTTTTCATACCTCAATATTCTCCAGTGGAATAATCCCTCTTGGTTCCTTATCGGTAGTGTACTCAAAATAATAGAGACAGTTGTCGTTGAGGATAAACCATCTCCTCTTCCAGGATTTGTAGCGACCACCCTGTTTCATTAGCCAACCCTCACGATCAGGGTTGAAGAATGTGTGCATCAGATCATTCCCATCATCTTCAGGAATCTTAAAGGGTTCTGTCTTGATACTATCGTATAAGCTCTGTTAAAAGTTAAATACATTGAATATTACAGTAGTGTGTATAGAAGAAAAAAATTCAAAAAATTTAATTATGGTTTATACAATATGTAACATTTTCATTATACTTTCCTTTAATTGTTATTTTTTGTAATGCAACTAATCAACAAGGATTTGTTACATTTCAATAGAAGTAAAATGAATCTATATGAAAATTTTACCTCCAAGAGTTCTCTGGGAAGATCATCTCCATTATCAATGCCACGGTTCATAGTGATAAACTGCTCAATTGTTTGTTTGTCCTTAACTGCAGGGTTGTGCAAGGAGGTATTCAACATGATGATTGCAAAAGACAGCACAAAACATGTATCAGGGTGTTGGAAGATTGATGGGTTAAGTTCACAGTATCGATGAGCAAAACGTTCCATCATTCTATCAATCTTTTGTGCTTCACCAGGCAGACGGAAACTCCACAGAAATTGTCTGTTGGATAGATAAACAATAATTTAAAATATCACAAATAGTAGCCATGAAGAATATCAAATTGCATGTCATCTAATACTACAGTATTGCTTTTAAGAAAATGCCATTTAATTTTTCTCGAGTAATAATGTTCTAACTCAGGGTGTAAGGAAAATGATTATGTACAGTACTGTACTGAATTCAGAGATGAGGGCAATAAAATATCTTGGACTTTAAGGAAAAAAGTAATCACAGGAATTTGGGCAAAATGAACCTGGTATTAAATAATAATTCATATTATTCTATTAAATTCATAATCTAGAACACAAACTTGTCTACAGTTGATATGTTTGACACGTTAATGAAAGGGTCTGTAAGAAACTAGTTTTAACATGTCAGACAAGTTCCTACTACCACATTACAATTCTCAAACTCGATAAACGAGGGCCACTCATCCATTCTCTTTTTAACGTGATATAATTACTACATTCTCTTAATGTTGTGTAATAAGTAAAGGTAGTATTTAAATGTTAATTGTGTAATACAGGTACACCTTTTATCACTTAATAAATACAGCACACTTCAATTAGCTTGGGGAATATCTGACATGTCTAAGCAACAGTTTATATATATTTTTTTTTTACGGGGATTAGCCCACCCGGGCACAGGTCACTGACCCACATTGGGGCCAGGGGGGCGAAAATGTAATAATAATAATAATAATAATAATAATAATAATAATAATAATAATAAAATAATGATGATAATAATACAGTAACTGTAATAATAATAATATTAATAATAAAGAACTATAAATACAAAAATTAAAAAAAAAGATCAAAAGTGAGAAACAATATATGTATGTTGTGTTGTCAATGGTAAGAGAAACAATTGAGACCCTGCAATTGCGTGTAAATGAAGCAGAAAGTCAGATGAGCAACCTGGGACTTGGTCACAATTTTCGTGATGCCATATGGCAGCAGGGTCTACCATTAGACAACACATTATGCTTCCAATATCTTCCCAGGCGGTAGTACCTCCCTGTTTGGAAGCTACCTACTAGTACTGTACTGTAAATTGTAACAAGTATTGTATACTGTGGTAATTTTCCTGAGATCTAATAAATAGAAGAACCAAATAATAACACATTGCACATACCTTAGGGCCTGAACGAGGATTAGGTCAGTGAAATCATGGAGACAGACAAAAGCATCGAGAACGGACTGATTAAAGTCATTACGTTCACCAAGATAGTCTCCAATTGCTGTCTTGTTAAGTCCTTCTCCTTTATACAGGAACTGTGCGATATCTGTATGAAGAAGAATTGTACTTGAGTGAGTTGAGAAAAAACCATTATGGACTTAAAATATATTTCAATATAAAAATACCTATGGTTATTGTTTTAAATACAATTTGTAATAGATTGAGCCATAGTCCTAAAGTACAGTAGTAATGACAACCAAAGTCTTGGAGTACAGTACAGTGCCTATATGCAGTACCGTACTGCTCTGTACTTATATGATACAGCCAATCTTAAAGTACAGGTACAATGTTAATGAGAGAGTGTTAAAGAAGTACTGTACAGTACAATATTGTACGTACTGTATAATTTATTATTAAGGCTCCAAAGGTTTTAATTACATGTATAAACTGTACTTATTATTAGTTGCTAATAATATTATAAATAAAAATAATAATAATAAGTCATAAACTGTAAACATGTAAGACCAGGGAAATAATAAGGTTGACATTTGCAGACTGGATTTACCACATGGTTTCATTTAGATCAAGCAAAAGCATGTGCACAAATGGGCGTGATTGAGCTCATAAACATTTTTACTATACAGTACAATATATTATTCACTTTTATAAATTAATTAAAGACTGGAGTATAATTACCGTCAGGAGTATTTTTTAGAAGTCCATGATCAATGAGGTACTCTATTCCTTTCTTAGGATCCATGTTGAACTTTTTCCTTCCGATGCTCATCTGCTTACTCTTTGGATTATTCTTACTGTGGATGGGAAAAAAAAAAAATTAATAATAAACTTTAGCGAATGTTCAGCACACGAATTACAGAAAAAAAATGCAATCTTTCACTTATTATAGGGATCTTAACTTGTATTGTAATTTTGAGAATTTAATGTGTGTTTAACATACTCTATTCTACCAAATACTGTACAGCATAATCAAGAATCTTTTTTTGCAAGATTTACACCTAACTAAATATACTCAAGTGACAGTACATGATATTCAAAAGGAGTCCAGTACATGTGCAGGTACCGTACAATATTGAGGTTTGTTAGGGTTGGTAACCTTGGGTAACTAATTCGTTAGCAAACTTTATTTCCTCCACAATTATTTAACACAGTATCCAAGGTTTCAGCAGGATATATATATATATATATATATATATATATATATATATATATATATATATATATATATATATATATATATATATATATATATATATATATATATATATATATATATATATATACTGTATTTCATTTTTAGTCCATATAACACGCGGACTTTGAACATATAATCAACGACCTCACCAGCCAGGACTCGAACCCTCGACCTAATGCATGGGACCAGGGAACGTTACTGACCATACCACAAGAGCACTAAAAGCAGTTATAGACTATGTGATATTTCACACAAAGCCTGTTCATCGAGCTGATGGCGCCATGAACCTCTCATTGGGAACTGCCTGTACTGCTATGTGGATGTCAGTAGCATTTTACCGAATCCAGCTGGTATGAAACACGAGGTACCATGTATACTTCATTTTTAGTCCAAAGTCCGCGTGTTATATGGACTAAAAATGAACTATACAACTGAAGATGTTTTGAATAAAGACGAAAGCTAAGGTGCTCCGTTGTTTCCCTTTTCCCGTGTGATTTTATCAAGATTTATCTTATCCACGTTTTCATTGTGGATCTACATGAAATATATATATATATATATATATATATATATATATATATATATATATATATATATATATATATATATATATATATATATATATACATATATATATATATATATATATATATATATATATATATATATATATATATATATATATATATATATATATATATATATATATATATATACAAGTAAATCACTGTAGGTGCGCGTGATCTAGGTATATGCTGATAACCACAAGGAAAGAAGAAAACACGAAGTTCCCAAGCGCTTTCGTGTAATTCACATCTTCAGGGGTGAGTACAGACTGATAACATAAATACAATTCTATATATATATATATATATATAAAATAACATGAAAATATAATGTTTTTCGAGTAACAAAGGTTTGGGGCAGATAATGTGGCGTGGACACTGGTTCATGGGAAATAGGTGGCGCCGAGGTTGGGAGGCCACCAGTCCAACTGGCCTGACTACTGCTAACTCACGAGGCTACATTCACTACCTGGCTCTCACTCCATGACTGCCAGGGGCCAGCTCAAACAAAGCTTATGGCAGGTGCACTCATGGTTGTGAAAAACAATTAGAAAAATTCAAGAATACCACTTGCAAACCTCACCCATATACATATTTTTAGTCCCATCAGAATTTGTGGATATTGAGGTTTAACGTATGTATAAAATATACAACCGGAGGTGTAGTAACATCTACATACTATGTTTATTCTTATTAAGGCCCAGAGTAAGTTAAAGCTTCTTGATTAAAGTCTTGTGAGTTTCATTTGCGCTTGTTCCCGAGGCCCAGTTCAGTACAGATATAACAATCAACTCGCGACAGATCCCTTGAATATGGACAAAGAGGATACATGGAAACAAATCCTATCGCAGGGCACCTTATATAGAACTAGACTCTAGGTGAAATGCCCTCACACAATGAATTTATTTTTTATTTTTTTTGGACAGGTCTCAAAATACAGTATATCGGTGAGGATCATCACTACACCTTACCACAATGACGCAGCACAAATACTTTGGTCCTATTACATCCACATTACAAGCACGACACTATACCGTTATCAGTAGTTTTGTTTGAACTAGTTTAGAGCAATTTCAAGGAGAAAAATATGTGAACAATGAACTTTATAATAAAAAGGGGGAAATAAAACTTAAATTTACGTTCACATACAAATAATGCGAGAATTACTTTATGTTGAATTTAAAGAAAGCTAAAATCATATGAACAACAAGGGCGAGATTCCACGTCCAACAATGTACCAGAACAGCCAGCTGACTTTGTATGTAACCTTCATGTTTAACCTAAACTGAGCCTCTACGAATCCTACATCGGTTATGAACAATACTGAAAACAAATGAATTATCCATGAAAATTTTATTACAAGGACCAACACCGGTCGACCATTCCCCCTGCCATTATATTTCCAAAACAGCGATCATTTATGATTTTATGGATTACAAGTTGATCTAGGATTACTTGTACTGTAAACTGTTTTCTGTTACTTGCTTCATATTGATGTTATAACGTGGTACTACGCTTCAACAATGTAGACAATTCAACGTTCCTATCCCACATTACTAGACAAAAAAAAAAATAAATAACCATAACTACAGGAATAATGACAAAATCACATAATACCGCAGATATTTACCTAAACATGCAATTGTTTAAACCTGAACACCAGCTCGGCACGAATAATAAACAACAGTTGCCACAGTAACGTGTCCCTCGGGAGGCACCTCACTCTCCCCATGATTTGAAACTCTTGCGTTAAGTGAGGTTTTTAATCTTATTTTCGTCAAGTATAGTGGCGTGTGTACTCCTCGGGGCAGGAGCTTTACAGTATGTGGCCCAAAGTAGAAATATGTGATTCAAGACTGCAACCCAGAACAAATCCCTCATAATTCTGGTGTTGCATAACTTGGTACTTACGCAACTCCAGGGTTTAGTCCTAACTTGCAAGTATCACCCGGTTTAGGGAACATGAGCGGGTGAGATAAATATTAACTTGTATAAAGACGACGCTTTTAAAATATAAACAACTGTACAATTGACAAGAATTAACAATATGTCGAAGTTCACACAAACACTGGGGCCCCTCCTTCCCCTACCTGGCCTACCACAACACCTGTCAATCCATATCTATTCCCCATGCATTTTTGCTGTCAACATGTCATTTGCATGATATAATAGGGTTGTGATGACAAATGCCGAGATTACACTATGCCAGCACACAATATCTGTAAACACACTAGTGGACGACATGACAAACGTACACCACAACAGGAATAACTAGCGTGTATGGCCGTAATACAAGTTACCATATCTATTACAGGATATTCGACCTGGCCCAGGTGGGGGGAGGGGAGGGGGGCGCACTGACACAACCAGCAACGCAGTGAAGGCCAACAGCTGTATTGTGGGGCTCGAGGGTTGCATAACTGTGTGAGGGGCTACAGTGTACAGTTTGGCAAATGCGGATCAAACGATAGAAATTAAAAACGTTATATACGCTTCAGTGTTTTTCGTATGCGTAATAGGAAAAACATGCCCTCCACTTGCTTGCTCACTACATCAGGTGCGGGGCTTCCCATTCCACCCTGTGTTCTCTCTCTTGATCAACCAGGCGTACAGGTGCTGCAAAAGGTACTTTAGATAGAGTTGCCACCAGCTGAGGTAGGCTCCCTAAATTACAAGATGCTACCCGGGACGAAGATATAACCTCCTCGCCACGGTGAGACCCTAGTAAGCATGATAAATTCCCCTTTTTTTTTTACGGGAATTAGCTCACACGGGCACAGGTCAAACGACTCACAACGGGGCCTGGGTGGCTCACCTGCCACGGTGAGCCACAGTGGTCACGTCCTGATGAACCCAGGTACTGCCAGCTCCACCACACCCTGCTACACGTTCAATAGAAGTAAAACACTGTGGTTACAATACACAGCTACCACCGTAGCCTAGACTCGCCAAGGTCAACATCAATCAGAACAACGAGCGTTTATAATGTTACTATTACTTAATAACGCCCCTTTAATCATATGGAATTTACCATTAACATTGACCAGTTCGATCACCGACTTGGTAAATTCTGAACTAAATTTATAGTTTAAATCTTAAAAGCATTTCAATAGGCCAAATGACCTTATACAATTATATGAACATAATGATCGCCATGATTGTTTTTCGAAGAATTATTAATAAAATTCTATAACACTTTAAAAATAATATAAATTCCCAGTGGTAATCCAAAAGCACGAGGACAGGGTTATCATCCAAGACCAGTGACAGGCATACTGGTGAATGCTCTGGTTTAGACTAGAGGATGAACAAAGAAGGTTTCTGAACAATCGTCACTTCATTTCCTGGAAGTATAAAAGATAATAAAGTGTTGGTTTGTCATTTTCTTTCACCTTCACCTGCACCTCCTTCAGTATCCATCTCACTCACACTGGCCTCAGCACGTAACGTCATCCCTTCAGGCTAAGATTGCCTAAGTAGATGGTGATCCTACTACCGGCTCGATCGATCCTGTTATCCACATCTAACCTAAATCATAAAACTATCCAGAGACCATAGACATGCACTATGGAAGAACTAAGACGGCTTATATTCACGCTTTAAACACAATGAAAATTTCCATGACAAACTCTATGATTTATCCAAAGTAAATAATGGTTGAATGAGTCACCCCAACAATACCCTGCAGCAATGTATCAACTATAACATGGATGTGTCGTCCCCTGGTACTGACGAACTCGATGTCCCCACGTACCCCCAAGCCAGCTCCCCATCCCCTCCCAGACCTCCGCCCCCCCTCTAAGTCCTGGGTGTGGGGAGCCTTGGCCGAACAGGATGGGATGGTGGGGGGGAATTCCCGAGGTTGGGCAACACGCGGAATGTTCCCTGTCTTCAGTTCTAGTGATCAGAATAATGAGATTTCCCTGTTAGCTATTAGAGAGTAACTAAGATATAAATGCTGATAATTAGTAAGTAAATAGTAGACAAAATAATAGTAATGATAGGAATATTCACCAAGGCTTATTTATTTAAATTACAGAAAGATAAAACATTGATGACCTTCCATTAAAAGCCGTTGCAATTAACCTTTGAAAGGTTATGATTGGCTTTCAATATTTTAATAAACGTAACACTCGATCAGTAGACAGTGCAGTGAAGCAAAGTTTCCCTAAGGGTGAAGACAATGCCAGCTATTGGTGGGGGGATGTACGGCTGGCTGACTCCACTATAAACATTCACGTCACATGAACAAACTAGGTGCTTCAACTAATGGTCTCTCATAATGCCTCCGAGATACCTACGGCTGTGACACGTCCTTAACTTGGCTGGTGGAGTAAGGGGAAACGCCAAAGCACCGCCACTCTTCTACACATCCGTCGTGTACAGGTAAATATTTTAAAGAAACATGACGTGCCAAGTATCCCTGGGAGGCGCGGCCGCTAGCAGGGCTGCCGGCCCAACACACAAGGTCATCTCCACACACACATAATATATTATGCTGCCACTGTTAGGAGCTCCTGGATAATTACAAGCCTCAACCATTAGAGGTGAAAACCTAGTTTAAAGTTACGGTTGGAGAAATGCACAACCTTGCCAAGTGTAATGTTTTGGATGGCTGATACTACTCCTAGGTTCTCTCAAGGTTAGCCAAGAAGATATATTTGAATTGACGACCTGCCTCTGTCATGACACACACACATATCATATATATATATATATATATATATATATATATATATATATATATATATATATATATATATATATATGACTCTTGAAGTCTTCTTGTTAGTGTGTGCTGAGATAAAACAAACGCCAAGTGTATCACTATAAAGTTGACGATCAAAACTAACTGACGCACGTAACTTCAGTAAGAGCCAACTCATGTGGATGCGCTAATGGACTGTTAATTGTGCCTGCGAGAAGTGTCTTGAGCTAAGTGGTAGATGCATGTGAACTTTGGGGCAAGGCAAAGTTCAACCTGAAGTTTAACCCTAATTATGTTTCCTGCCAGTCTTCAACCACCTATTCTTAAGCATTCGTGAAAAACACAATCACGTAAATATTTGACTCACTAGCGTGTTTGGTAGTCATAACTTTAACAGACTGAATGTTGCATCCAATTCAGATTGGACGAAATAAAGTCAGAGGTGACCTACCCAATTGTTGTGAAACTCCTCTTATTCTGATGTTTTGTCCGGTGCTACTAACACAGGCTGTGTCCTATCCTATATGGATATGAGCCAGGGGACCTTGGCAATAACAATACAAGCCAACAGAGTCGTGTGTGGGCCACAGTGTGAGAGAGGAGAAGTGGACCACAAACTGCAGTGCGAGAGGAGAATAAAGTCTCGTTTGGGTGAGGGTCCTCTTACAGGGTGATGGGATTCCTGGTTTAATGTGCTGTACCCAAGGTAAACATTTCAGAGAAGCAAGGTCTCTCTGCTGTAAGAAAGTCGAGTACCATGATAAAGGTGTTCACCCCTCAGGCTTTTCAATACTATATTAAGTAAATATTTATCTCGTTTATATATACCACAAATATTCATAGGCTGCTTCTATATCAAAGGTGGCAATATTAACAACAAGAATCCTAAATTTGTCATATATGACCAGAGGCAAGGCAAGAGAGTAGGGTGGGGCGAGGACACAACACGGTCTCCCCTCCAGCAACACCAGACCACAAGCGCAGGTGACTCACACGTGCACCTCCAACCTCACATACTAAGCCACTCACTACACGCGTTACTCTTTTCCCTGTATCAGAATTTGTATCTAGTAAAACACGTTGCTGGACACAAAGGACAATCTTCGTTTTCTTCCTACGTTTCTTGCCACAACAATACAAATGAACAAAAATAAAACACCGACTCTACACAAAGCAACAGGCAGTTATACAGGAGGAAGCCAGAGCAGCCAACAGAGAACATTACTGAACCGTCACCATCCATCCTAACATGAAACCCATCAATATTATCGTAAATATAGCTTACCAAAATTTTTATCAGGTTATTGAATATGCGTTATGTGTCCACAAACTGAAATTTCTCAGCGGTAATTGTGGCATAGGAGACCATATATTCACTCAATGTTCGTTGGTACAATTAGTAAGGTTCACACGCGTTGTTATTCCCGCTTATCTAACTCACTGGCGACCATCACGTCATAAGACATCGTGCAGGAGCTACTTAAGGAAAAAGTACTGACCTGTCTTCCCCCGTATCCAGCGCCTCCATCTCCGCTGTGACCTCGGCCATCTCATCTTTGAGCGTCTGTAAAGAAAAGGAAAATACATTAATACCTTTCTTGTCTTTTCTGATATAACTATGCCGGTACTACAGTTGACATGGAGCACTCACCACTAGTAATGAAGAAGCATGACAAGGTTATCAAAATAGCGCAACATAATGTAAAATCCCTGTTCATGTATCTAACACCTTGCTCACTGCATACTATAATACTCACGTAATAATCTCAATAGACACGATCACCAGACACCAGACCATTAATAAAGTCACATCAACACTGTGAGAGAGGATACCGAGGGTAGGAGCAGCGAGCCAGGTAGTGGTAGGCTCCTGTAAACGTATGGTGTTCCTCTACTAGAATTTGCCTACTCCAGCCCACACCACATCAATACTTTTAACGACTGCATAACACGCTCGCGTCCGTAACCTTGTGACTAAAGCTTTACACACACTTCATAGAACATCTTATTCACGGACACGAGTCATAAACGCCTCAGTAGTTAGTGAAGGAACACCAACTGGTGGATGAGCTACTCCCTAACCCATCGCTCACCTCACCACCGCAAGTGTCATCACACCCACTACACCCTCATGTATGTGTCGCCTTGAGAAGAAAAACTGTGATCGTTCACCTTAACGTCACAGGTCAGGTGTGTGCTGTGCTCCCCATCCACAGTACAGGACTGGAGGCAGCCCAACGTTGCAACAGCTTGTCGCAAAACACTCCATATTCTCGTATACACTAAAAGATATCACGTCCCACACATAAAAGCAAAGATAAAAACTTGTCAAGGGACGACTCTACAAGCCCAGGGGGATGATGTCCTGCAGTTACCAGCACTACAAGTCGGCACAACTGATCAACACAAAACTCACCACATAAAACACTGCTGTTCCCCTCGAGAGTGACTTCATTTCGACTGGCACCTCTACTGTGTCCGGCTTCACAACACTGTCATCTCTTATCAGTTAAGATATAAAACCTAGACCTCCCCCTGCACCACCCCACCACTTTATCTTTACCTCTATCCCTGACTCACTATAAGCACTCTAAACCTGGTTCCTTGTGGTTACTCTGATAAGCTGCTCCGTATCATTTTCAGGAAAAATAAACAATATGACGTGACTGATAAGAATATAATAAGTTCTGTAATCTTCATAAGACACGAACGTGACGTCACGGGTTATATTTTCACGTAAATATCACCTCTAGGCGATCATGTTACTAGACGAAATAATATCGAGGAGTTGAGAGTGAGGCGGATTAATGGTGTGGAAACTCCTAAGTCTAGTTTACATAACAAGATGGTGCCAAGGCCACTCTCCTCTCCAACAGCCCTCGACACCTTCACCCGCCCACAGTCCAGTCCCTCGTTTTTGGTACTAACATTCCAGGTGGTGGTGTAAGCGCCTCCACCACCTCCCTAGTTCGCTCGTATCTTATCAAGGGGGTGGCGAGGGAGGCCTGGGTGACGCTGGTTATGACGTGGTTGAAATGCTAGTAATACCCACCATCATCACCACCGGAAACTGGGAGTAGCTAGATAACCGCCCGGGTACACCCAGTCTGACAACCACACTACGTCTCCACACACCCCTGCCCCAAACACAACACAAAAGACTAACTGGTGATGCTGCCACCCAATTACGCCACTTCATCTAATATCTTCATAATGGACACCAACACGCGACACGCCCACTACAGCACACCATTACAGAGTCATCGCCGCCACACTACCGTGCACCTCAACACCTGCCCCGTCACTGTAGCATATCCTTCCGTCAGTATCTGTCTACCGTCATCTTCACTGTCCACAGCTCAACAGTTACAAGCGCCAAGAAAATGATCCCTGAATATGTACTCCACATTTTACGCCACTCGCACACTAAGTTAAAATGAATAAGCATCTATTCACTAACACTGCGTGTACAGTACAATTACTGATCACAGGGTTGACTTGGTGTGTATTTGGCGAGTAAGGATGTTTGTAAAGCCAAGAGAGTAAAGAGCTGGTTCCTGTAGTAAAGGAACAAACAGTGACGACCCACCACCACCACCCGAGCCACTCTCCATACCTGTGGTTCTTCACACACACACACACACTGAAAAGGAACACAATATACTCTGGGTGAATGTGTGCATGAGTGTCATGGAGGCGCGTGGCAGGGTGATGAGGGTCCTATAGTCACTGTCTTATTTCTCGAACATCAATAATCATGCCATTTATTGACAAATAAACACATACAAACAAACAGGACCTCATGTGGGCGTACACAGAGAGGCTTCAAAACGCCAGTATACGAGTATTCTCCAGCTGGAGCAGGTAGTGAGTTAATACCGACACCAAGCGACAGCGGTGAGAGCACGTGTAGCCCGACACATTAACACTGTACAGTATACTACATCATCCAGCCGAGTAAGGGCTTGGATGATGAGCCAACCGAAATCGATAGCGGGTAAACGAGGCGGCGGCCACCATCACCACCCATGCCCGCCATCAGTCACCCAGCGAGTACTGTCACTGATAGTACTCGAGTAGTCACTGATAGTACTCTAAACAGTAAGTTCCACCTCAGACAATCTTCATCTTATAATAAGTAAAATGACACACACACACACTCGAGCTAGACGCCAAGCTCTTGCATCACTAGGGTGAGATTGGTAGTTTTCGACGCCACACGTATACACAAGCTTTAATGGTGGTTCCCGAAGACGTACAAACAAGCCTCGGGCTAACAGCAACAAGTGTGGTTGAGTAATGGGCGGCAAGGTAAGAGCGACCTTAAGAACGGGGTCAGTAAAGGTCAGGCCGCCGCGCCCGTCATGCACGCGTCAACAACGTGACTTGAAAGTTCCGGAAGTACACATCTAGGCGTTATTTCTCAGACCTGCTGCTAGAACCCCTCACTCGAAGAACTGTGGTTAACCATAAACTAACTACAAGAATTCATCACCTGAAGTACTTGTGGCAGGAGATCGACGAAGAGCCTCCCGTGCCACAAACAACACGTGTGCCCAGAACTTATGATATAGACTAGACTATTATTAAAAGATGCCAATGTGGGATTTGCTCGTGTGCATTAACGATAGACACCTCTTCACTCCTGACAGTAAAATGCATGATCAACTCGTCCGCAGAGAACTACAGATATATATGATTACTGAGACTATCATGCAGAAACTGCTCGCCCGCATAACTGCGGATGTCACCTCATCGATTCACAAACTGCCGACAAAGTTGAGAGCAACTGTGGGTTATATCAAAAGTGTGAAGAATCAAACAGTCTGGCAGTGTGTTCACCAATTGACTCTCCCCTTGAGACAAGAACCGTGTAGGAAGGAAAGTCTGTAGAAAGCCTGGTGTTGATATGTGAGGAAGCACAAGGCAGCACCACACGACCAGTCTTACTACATACTCCACTACACGGCAGGCCAATACACGGTTAAAAATGCAGTTTATCAGACGATTACCAGAAAGCAGCTCGAGAGCATCCTCTTTACCGACCGCTCCTGCTTTTGTGGTGTTGCTGGTGACGTGAGGTGAGTGTGATCCAGGCAGCTATCTAGTGTCGAGGTCTGGTGGGCTGTAGATGCCTGTCTATCACATCTAGGTTAAGGCTCCACTTTTATAATAGTGTTATCACGTGAATCTGAAGCTTTTACTGACAAGAAATATTACTCACAAACAGGCCGAGCTAACAACAACGCCTACACTTAACATAGGCCACTTACAGACATGCCCCCGCACAGCACACAAGCTATTTCAACAAAATTGTACATACGGCATCGATGCTGGGACACGCAGGTTTAACGTCCGTGATAATATCAAAAGTACATTATACCGTGAAGACAAACACCTGTACCAACCCACTCATCGAAGACTGCTGGGAAGAGCTAGGAGTTTGTAGCCACCAGTTGTATCCCCGTCACATTCTACCACGGTCGACCCGGAGCCTCGAAACACAATCACTGCGTCACCTTACACCTGTATCACCTCACCTCACCGCCCCGCAGTCCTCGACCTATTACGTGTCTGTTTGGAGGAATTAACTCTTGCTCGGGTCATGCAACGACCATTAGACGTAAACACCTCTTAGTTAAGGGTATTAGAGCCTTCTAAACTCGCATCGAATGTAAGGCAGAAGGTGAGGCGAGAGCATTCAACACACCTTTCAGATCTAGTCAGTCGATCCTGATGGCTGAGTCGTCTATTGATAGTCGATGTTCTGGGTTGTCTGTCTGTCGTTATTTGTTCGCTAAGATAAGAGAAGGAGTGGAGGAGGGCACTAAAGGACTGCCACTTTGTCACACGACAGTAATGGGGCGTCCTTGGCTGCTGCCGACAACATGAAGCAACTACAATGGAGATTTAGGACCAAGTCAGCCCCCCTCTCAGCATCAACACACGCCACAGCCCCCTTGTAACTCTCAGCCTCGTTACTATGGCTCCTGAAGCTTCCCGGCAAATCCTTTCGGCAATTAAGTTCTTAAAGACGCCCAGTAAGCTTCTCCACCGCCTTCTCGGCAGCCTACCGGTAACTCCTCCCCGTAACCCCAATTCTTACAGCCTCCCGGTACCTCCGCCATTAAGGCCCTCAGCTCTCTCCTCTGGAAAGCTCAGAAAGATTCCAGGTAATCAAATCAATTAGCGAGTCATTACGGCACAAGTTACTGCCAGGGTGGGTAGCAGGGCCCAGGTGCCCGGGACGAACCCCTGGGATTACTGTCGGTAATTACACCGTTTGCTAATCACCCGTTACCTGATTGACGACATATAGGCAACCACTGTTACAACATCTGTCAAAACCACTCAGTTACATCAATACATATGTGTTAATACTATCACAGCAGGATGCTGAAACGATAATGCAATTAAAAATAATTAAAATAAATTGAGCAACTAATACTGTACATTAACTCAGTTTCGTTTTACTGATGCTGCAACAGGACTGGTCGTGTGTACAGTCGCAGTTTAAGAGGAATATACAGTATGAGGTTACATTTTATTGTATATACAGGAAGT